AAGGTGTGGGGTTTTTTTCGGGAATGTTGCTGAGCAGGTGAGTGAATTAATGGAACCCCCATGGACAGCCAGAGCACTTCATTTAGCAAATTTGCTGTCCTTGGCCAGAGGGCCTTTATTCATCTCCTCAAACTTTTGTTGTTCAGTCGCACAGTTGAGTCCGACTCTTCACGATCCCATGGACCAGCTCCCGCCAGGCCTTCCGGTCTTCCGCCATCCTCTGACATTTGCTCTATTTCATGTTCATTGCATCGATGACACTGTCTAACCATCTCATCCTTTGCCGTCCCCGTCTTCTTTGACCTTCAATCTTTCCCAGCATCAGGGTTTTCTCCAGTGAGTGCTCCCTCTCAAACTAGGGTCCTGTTATCCTGAAATCAGGACAAGATTTCCCACCCAGAAATAGTTTCTTCCTTACTTCTTGATTACTGTTTTCACAACCAGAGTCATAAACAGCAGACCCTCGCCATGCAAAGGGAAAGTCTATTCAGAAATAGACTGAATGTCATCACCGGGAAGATTCAACCCCAAATTGTTTGGCCTGTCTTCAGGATGTGCTATTAAACATTAGAAAAGCTGTCTGCTAGACGTTCACACACATCCAAATAGGAGCCTTTCCATTATTACACTGCTTCTGGAGGCATTAACCTTATGCAATACTCTGTATCCTCCGTTTTGGAACACCTGCTCCATCTTGCATTCTCTGAGAGTAGCTGTTTGCTCCTTAAACATACACCTTGCGTCTATTTCTAACAGGTTTTCTTAGATCCTAACGCAAATGAAACATCAGAAGAGCCCTGCTGGATCAGACCAGTGATCCATCTAGCCCAGCATCCTTTCTCACACAGAGACCAACCAGTTCCTCCACAGGGCCAACAACAGGGCATGGAGGCTGAGGCCTTCCCCTAATGTTGCCTCCTGGCACTGGGATTCAGAGGTTGACTGCCTCTGAACATGGAGTTTCCCCTTAGTCACCAAGGCCAGCAGCCACTGATAGTCCTAGCCTCCACAAATCTAACTGATCCCCTTTTAAAGCTGTCGATGCCTGTGGGCATCACCGCATCCTCTGGCAGCGAATTCCGCATTTTAATCCATCTCTGTATAAAGAGGTACCTCCTTTTGTTCATCCTGAACACTACTGCCCATCAGCTTCATTGGGTGCCCTTCAATTTTAGTATTTTGGGAGAGGGAGAAAAAAAATCTCTTTTCCCACTCTCTCCGCCCAGTGCATAATTTTACAAGCATCTATCAAACAAAAGGAACAAGGAACAGAGAGGGGAAACAGGCAAAACAGAGGCCCATTCAAAGTTATGCAACACTCAAGTCAGAAGAAAATTCTGGGTTAGCGCCAGGGGTCATTTCATAGAAAAAGAGCTAGGGGAACTCATTAGCATAACTCATTAGCATATGCCACACCTCCTGACATCAGGGGCCCGGCGGTGGACCTGCAAGGCCAGCAGGAGTGCGAGGAAGCCCCGCCAAGGCCCTCCCTGGCCCCAGGCAGGCAGGGGTGGGGAGAGGCAGGGAGGAAGCAACTTACCCTCCCTCTTCTCCTGCCTCCTCCTGGCTGAATGAGGGCTGGAAGCAGGGCGGCCGGAAGCAGGGGGTGGGGCTTCATCATGTGCCCCGCCCCCTGCACCTCACCCGGGGGGACTGCGTTCCCCCACATTCCCCCCCGAAATGACCTCTGGTTAGCGCCAACTGGCACCTGTTTCAAGCCAGGAGAGACTAACAAAGGGGGCATGTCCGTTTATCTGGCACCAATGAACTGCCAGGCTACCCACTAATTATACCCACATATTAAGAGCTTGGAACGTCAAGTTAGGAAGTGTGTAAAGGTAAAGGTTCCCTTGCTCGAAAGCCAGTTGAATGCAACTCTAGGGTTGCGGTGCTCATCTCCGTTTCAAAGCCGAAGAGCCAGCGCTGTCCGAAGACGTTTCCGTGGTCATGTGGCTGGCATGACTAAACACCAAGGAGCACGGAACACTGTTACCTCCCCACCGAAGTGGTACCTATTTATCTACTTGCAATTTCTTGCTTTCGAACTGCTAGGTTGGCAGGAGCTGGAACTAGAGACGGGAGCTCACTCCATCATGCGGCACCCTGGGTCTCGAACTGCTGAACTACTGACCTTCCACAGCCTGCAGTCTTAACTACTTGAGCCACCGCAGTGTGACTTAATGGTAAATTTGCATTCTGTTGCATGCCTGCTTTAGAAATTAAACCCCAGAGGTTGTAGAACGGTTCACATATTAATATTTATGTTTTATGTGCATCTCAGATACCTTCCAACTATTTTATAAGTATTAACTTCTATTCATGTCTAATGCATGTTATAATTAAAATTGTTACGCTATTAATGTTTCAGTGACTGGTCAATAATAGAACTGCGTATTAATGCTAGTTTACTAACTTATGGAAATGTCTTTGGACAGCGCTGGCTCTTCGGCTTTGAAATGGAGATGAGCACCACAACCCTAGAGTCGGATTCGACTGGCTTTCGAGCAAGGGAAACCTTTACCTTTACCTTTTTTACTAACTTACTGATCTCTCTCTCTGTAGATACATATATATTTGCTGCAGTATTAAAAATTAAAGAATTTTAAAAAAGAAAGAAAAAAGAAATTAACCGCTAGAGTAAATGGTACATTTGAGCCATCTGCAGGAACAGGAAGTGGAGGAGAGAAGGGTTTTTTGTTGTTGTTTCTACTACAGCTCCTGACAAATGCCGCACAAGAACAAAACCTTCAGGTAGAAGCAGGCTGTCACAAACAGTCAAAATCTCTGACAAGAGCAAAGAAGGAAGGAATTGGCAGTTGGGAGAGAGTTACATCTGAATGTGACAGTCGCTCTGAAAAACAGCAACTTCTTCCAACTTGTTTGTAGACGTTGTGTGAGGAAAGGAAGGTTACAGACTGAACTGGAGGCCAATTTCTGAGATGGCGGAGAAAAACACATCTCCAAAGTGATAGGCGCTATCACAAAGGAAAAACGGTGGCAAGAAAGAAACAATTAGGAATGGGATAAAAATCATAAATATGACAGTGACAGAAAGCCACGGATAAGCTGTCCCATGAAAGATAGGAATCAGAGTGCAAGAATATTAATTCTGTGGGGGGACGAATTGTTGACAGAAGTGCCCATGCTGAAGAAATGGAACAGAAAATTCATAGAATAAATTCAGTGAAAGGGAAGGGGATATTTTTCACATTTCTTCCCCACAGTAACATCAAACAAACCTAGGAAGGGGAGGGGGATTCTTCCACTGACGTTGAGTACCAGACATTGAATGTAGAATGGCCCCCTGTGAGGAAGGTTAGGCTGAGAGAGCATGATTGGCGAAAGGTCACTGGTGAGATTCCATGGCACGAGTGGGATTTGAACCCATGTCTTCCAGACACTAGTCCAACACTCTTAACCACCACACCACACTGGCTCTCAATATAAAAATGGGTACGGAAAGGGTGGGAGGAAATCTCCATAAATGTGTGTCTGAGCTTGATTAAAACATATATTTGGAAATATGTCTCAAAAATGCCAAGAGTAACAAAGAAGGCCCATACAATTTAAGTAAAGGGAAGCAGGGGGGTATTGTAAAAATATACCACAAAATAGGGAGGAGAAATCTATAAACCTAGTTATTCTCATAATCCAAAACAGAAGGGCAGAAAACCCTTTAAATCCTTTTCAAGACACAATCCCAGGCAGAGTGATATGAGAATGTGTGGAAAATAAAAAACTTGGTGGTGGTGGTGGGGGTAGAAGACAATATTTTTAAAACATAGATTAAGAACAACCAGGGGTCATTTCCTGCCGGAGTGCCCCGGAGCAGCACTCCGGTAGTAACGAGCCCAGGCCCCGCCCCTCCCAAGGGAGGAGAATTAAATGCCTGGCTTCCCTGCGTGATCTCCTCCGAGTGCCCCACAACTGTGGGGCACTTGGAGAAGATCGCGCAGGGAAGCCAGGAAGGGGAGCCGGGCAGACATGCCCTCCTTTCCCCCTGAGCCTCTCCGCTTTTGCAGAGAGACTCAGGAGGGGGATTTAAATGCATGGCTTCCTGCCAAGGCGGGCTGGGGGGGGAAGCGAAGCGAAGCGAGAAGGGGGGTAAAAGTTTAACCCCTTCTCTCTAGAGTTGTGCAGCAGCAGCGGCACGATCCTTCCATTGTATTCTATGGAGCCATAGAATACAATGGAAAGATCCTGCCGTCCCTGAGGCGCGACTCTATAGGGAAGGGGTTTAAACTTTAAACCCCTTCTCTCTTCGCTTCCCCCCCACCCTGCCTTGGCAGGCCGGCTGGGGAAGGGGAGGAGAGGCTTTTGAAGATGCCCCTCCCCCTTTTGCTTCCCCTTCTGACACACTTCTGGTGATGTCAGTGGGCGTGGCATATGCTAATGATTGTGCTGATCACAGGTATGCTAATGAGCTCCTGCACCCCTTTTCCTACGAAATGACCCCTGACAACAACACTGAAACCGTGTAAAATATCTAAGACTTCTACAAAACCTCTTAAACTGGCGAGCGCTGTTGTGACAGATAATCAGATAACTCATGAGTATGAGATAACTCATGAGTATGCAGCTTTTTGTTGCTTGAGGAACTCCATACTTCTCATTGACTGTAAGAAAATATTTTCTATCATCAAAATTTGACACATTGTGTCACCAGCAAAACACTTCGTGCCAGGAGTAGAGTGCCCAAGAACTTTGCGCACCCTTCTTTCACAGCATCTTTTACAGAGCAGTCAGCCACATATTAGTGCACTCTATTCTGCATCTGTAGAAGGCAATTTATTTATTTATTGTAAAAATAAATAAGGACAGTTCATTGAATACTAAATGATCCCAAAATTATAAGAATATTAGAATAACAGTTGACAATTAGTATCCATTTCTAACTCAGGAGTATCACCAATACCGAAAAGGTGTGCCCTACTTTACAAACCATCAAAGTCAATTTATTTATTTATATTTATTTATTTATTTATTTGATTCATGCCCCGCCCGGCCCCCGCCGAAGCAGGCTCATATAACACAACATCGTTAGACAAAGTAATGCAAAGTATCAAGAACGATAACCTCTCAGTGACTTATAACAAAGAGAGATTGAAATAATAATTCAAGAGACTTAATTTTGTCTGGAACTATGTTTTGGGATGACATAAAATACAGAATGGGAAACCATTTCTCAGTGAAATCAGACTGCCTAGGGAAGAGTTTGGATTGTAATAAACGATCTGTGATCTTTTCCATTACATAAATATTCCAAACTTTGTCGAACCAGAGATAGCATAGGGGGCTACTCCAAGTCTTATCCCAAAAAAGATAGATTACAATCTGGCTGCCATCTTTTCTGAAAACCAGTTAAACCAACAGAGAAGCTGTCAATCAGTATTTCATACATCATCCTAATAATACCCCCTTTAAATTCATCAACTTTCTTTAGGATCTGTTCAAATGGGCTTAATATACTTAACGTGTAGTTTTTGGAGTTGGAGATTCGTAGCAAGATGGCTAAGTTGGAAATCATTACACCGAGGTAAAGGTTCCCCAATGAGTGTCAAGTTTGTCTCATTTGCCATAATTATGGGGGAGGGAAATTCCTAAGGGGTGTGTGTGTGTGTGTGTGTGTGTGATTATGAGAGTAGCATCATTGTAGTGCCTATCCTAACTCTTCCCAAGACAAGTCTCTCCATGGAGACAACCTTGAAGCTAACTCCGCGCTAGCCTCACTGTCTTAGATAACAGGACTGGGAACTTATGGGGGGGGGGTGTAGATGCCAAGAGTTTAGATGAGACGGCTGAATGAGATGATTGGATGAACCTGGGGGGGGGGACATTTGAATTGCCTATATCTGTAGAGGTTACCGCCAAAAACCTCAGTTCTGACACGGTACTGGTTCTAACCTGGATCATGTTGAATTCTCAATAAACAAATCGCTGCCAAAGAGAGTGTTGTTGGGAGTCTCTTGACCAGAGATCTGACAATGACCTCCTGCAGTCTACTTTTCTCCAACGAACCACTCTGTTGAGTTATGCCTGCCATGCTATTAAAGGTTTATTGATTGATTGATTGATTGATTGATTGAGTTATGCCTGCCTCCTAGACCTCCAACTCTGTACAAAAGAATTGTCCTGGCTTGGTTTGAACCAGCTTTGGTTGAGGAAAGAAGAAAATAAGGAGTCTTTCGGTGTGGGAGGCAATTTATGAATTCCACCTGGATGTGGAGTAAACGTGTCTTTGAAAGCGGCGCGGGAGGAAAGAGCTGGTGCCAGTCTTTTCATAGCCGCCGGTTCTTTTATTCCTCGGGTTCAGCATGGGCTCTGGGGACCATCTTCAGCTTGATGGGCTTCTTGGGTCTCAAGAAGCCTAAGGTGTCCAGTTCCAGGGGGATCTTTGACAGGAGGGGGGGAGGAAATTAAGAAAAACAAGCTTGTGACCTGAACAAAGCAGGGAAGATATTCAGCAGACATAAGCAGCATTGGAAACAACTGGAATGTGCGCCCATGTTCACCCTCTATTTCATTCACCAGTGACTCCCCCCCCCCCAAACGGCTGTGCGTTGTCAGGAGCAACAAAACGCATCTATGCACTTATTCTACGTGTGTGTGTGTCACCACAGAGCCAGCAAGTTACTCCCACATGTAGCGCTGGCACAACACCGTACTGGATTGATGGCTGCTTAACCTCTCACGTTTTTGCGGTCGTTGAACAAGGGACACACAGGGAGCCTTTGTTATCAAGTCTTGCTGAGTTTCCTAGAAGCCGGAGTTGCCAGATCTCACAGTGCGTAGACAGAAGAGCCACGTCATTCATGGATTCGTGACTCACAATTTCATTGATTCACGCTCTGATCACAGGATGAGGCCACCGGCCCCTTTCTACTCCCACTGCACCAACGTTGTAATCATTCCATTGTTAGATTTCCCACAACATTTGGTTGTTTGCCTATTGGAAGGCAGCAGAATGTTGCCTACCCGTCTTTGTGGATTTCGCCGTTCGTGGTGACCCCAGGAGTGGAATGGAAGGGGCTACTGCAGTGTTCCCTCTATGCTGAGCTAGTGTGAGCCATCTCACAGGGGGTTTTATAGCCCCCGGCTCACACATTTTTGTCTTTGCTCAAAAAGGATGGCTCCAGAGCAAACTAATTCGTGCAGCAGCCAAATCGCTCGCTCACAGCTTCACATAAGAACATATGTTGGATCAGGCCAAAGGCCCATCCAGTCCAACACTCTGTGTCACACAGTGGCCAGAAATACCAGGTGCCATCAGGAGGTCCACCAGTGGGGCCAGGACTCGATACCAGTGGCTCACAAAGTAGAATTTTTGCTCACAGGACTCCACAGCTTGGAGGGAGCATTGGTCTACTCAGGCCTATTTTTGGGGAGGAACGCACAGGAACGGAGTTCCGGCTGGCTTCCAAGTTGGCCACGCCCAGCAGGAACTCATTAGCATAATAGGCCACACCCAACAGCAGAAACTCATTAGGATTGGCTACATTAGGGGTGTGTGGCCTAACACGCAAAGGAGTTCCTGCTACAAAAAAGGCCCTGGGTTTGGACAACAAACAAGGTAAACAGAATAAGAAGCAAAAGGTGGGTGTGGCTGGATGACCACACTTCTGGTAACATGGGGGTGCGGCCTAATGTGCCAATGAGCTGTGCTGTCAGGGGTGTGGCCTAATATGCTAATGAGTTTCTGCTCTTGGGTGTGGCCTATTATGCTAATGAGTTCCTGCTGGGCTTTTTCTACAAAAAAAGCCCTGGGTCTACTGTACGCTTAAATTGCCACAAGCACGGCAGCTTCCATATCTTGCACCTCCTTCCCTCTGTTGTTCTCCTCACCCACCACCCTCTCCTGCCTTCCCTGGCCAGCAGTATTCTATATTTGCAATACTATGAAAAAATGGTGGCCAGGATGCCTGAAAAAAGCATGAAGTCCCTCAAACCACATCCGCTCTCTGTCTATTTTTTTGTATTTTTGTATTTGTGCCCATTCCTGGAACTCATGGTGACTTCTGGCGACCCCTAGTGGGGCATGGAGGACATTCAGAAAAGTGGCTTGATAGCCTGCCTCTGCCTCCAGGCTCTGGTAATCCTTGGAGGTTTCCCCTCCAAATAATTGCCAGGGTCGGCCCTGCTTAGCTTCCAAGATCTGACGAGATCGGGCTTGCCTCGGCTATCCAGGTCAGGGCAAACCGCATCCTCTCTTGATGCCAAAGGGTATTTAAGTTTTGCTTCTTCTGTTCTTCCTAGAGATTGCCGAAGTGGATGTTTGCTTCGATGGGGTTCTACTATGAAGCACAACCAGATGGAGAGACACTGGCTGGAACTATTTAGTTGTGAGGGATGGCTTTCTTCAGTGTGAGAATAATTCTTGCTGGTCTCGGGAGACGGCAAGATTGGCCACTGGTCATCCGCTTTTTCATTTTAAGGCCGGTTTGTTAGCATGACCCAAGCTAGTCAAAATGTTTGCTTCACCTTAAAAGCCCGCCCGCTGCTTACCGGTGTCTCTTTGCAGGTTCGGAAGGAAAATTTTTGTAACAGAGCAACCACAGCGACTTTCAAGACCAGGAGGGCAAAGCGCATCCCAATGCAGTTTCTG